TGGGGTACACGTGCACGTGTCGAGGCATCATCAACGTGAAGGGGAAGGGGGACCTGAAGACGTACTTTGTGAACACGGAAATGTCAAGGTCCCTTTCCCAGAGCAACCTGGCTTCCTGAAGAGCATCTTCGTTTTGGCAAGAAGAATATGTTTTTAGGAAGGTACGATGCACTTTCTGACTGCAACATTTGTCCCTCGTTTTTGATGGCGTGCTCTGTTCTGTCCTCTGGAGCCTCTGCAGACTCGTTCCTGTGACCCGGGGGGCACACCGTTTGGGGTGCCAAGATCGTTCTGCCACTCGCACTGTGCTTACTCCGAAGGAAGAGGAAAAAGAGTGTGTGATGGAGAAGAGAAATGCATTCAAAGAACTAACATGGATGATGGAGGTGAAACAAGCAAAAATTCTTAAGGCAATAAAACTAGGGGGTGTATATTATCTTCTGGTGCATGTTCTTTTCTGGAAAATATGGTAGCTCGCCAACCGCATCCACTAGTCTGATATTACAACACACAGTATTCGTGACTAAGTTGAGTCTGTCATCCCACATGGAATTTGACTGTGTTCACCCACGTGTCTCATTGCCAGAGTATGTCCACGGGCCCCGTTGGGATCCCTGGCTCTGTCCCCTTGCTCTGTTGTGTCGTGCCAGCAGCACGTAGTCATCCATCACCAGAATTAGTTCTCACCACCTAGGACCAGTTTTGTACCAAACGTGTCTGATGTTTTGATGCCATTGTCTTTTGTAAGGTTAATTCATTAAATTTTATGTACTTTGGTTTGTGGTGCCTTCTCTCCCCCCTCTCCTCCCCCTCCCTCCTCCTTCTTTCTCTGGTTTGCTCCAGAATAGAGGTTTGTTTCCCATTTATCTCCCTGTTTTGGAAAAGGTTCTCCGGAAGCCAGGGATTGAGTCCTTCAGATCAGGACAAAGTCTATAATGCAGATAATTGATTAGGCAGCTCCCTGGGAAGAAAGGAAGCATGCTGCATGTGTCCTGGGGTCTGCTTTTGATTTTGGCCTCTCTAGAGAGCATTTGCATGGAAAATATTTTAATAGTAAGAAGATTCTCTACTGACAACAGCACCCCTCTGTCCTCACACTCTGGTCTACTCTACCTTTAGTCATCTACCAGACACAGGATGCATACGAGTAACTTGCAACTGACTGTGTAGGTTAGCAACCCCAATGGCTTGAACAAACACAAGAAACTGCCAAGCCACCTATGATGTCTTAGGTGGCGTAAGAAGGCACAGAGCCTTGAAGATGGAAGACCTGGCAAATGTGGTGGCAGTCAATTCAACTCTAAAGTTTTGGGGGTTTTCTTCACATAAAGAAGTCATACTCTGCCAAAGGGTGAAAAATAGTGCAATCGTGTGTAGTCTGACATTTGAAAGCAAACCTACACGTGCCTGTTTAGGCAACCCTGTAAGAGGTAGAAGACCCCGCGACCTATTAGGGAGCAGCCCCTTCCTGGGAGCTGGGACTTAGAGCCTGAGCTTCTGGCCTGACTGCCGACTCTTACCTGTCACCAACTGTTTGACTTTGAACCATCTCTCACTTTCTCTGAGGAGTGTTTTCCTGGTGGGTAGTTTGCTGCAAACTGCATGTCGAGGTTCAGGATCTGAAGGAGGGGCCGACGCACAAATGAAAATGCTATACAAGAAATATGAATTTAGAAGGCATTGGGGGGCCAGGTGGAACCTCTTTCCTGAAGAGGCTCACTGAGTCCTGGCCTTGTCTGCTTTTTATTCAGTTTTAGATACACATCTTGCCCTCAGTAAAGCACAGCAAACAGGTAGCAGACAGTCTCAAAGGTCAGTAAAGATCAGTAAAGTCCATTAAACATTTACTTGGAGGCTAACAGGTCAGGAAATTGCTTCAAGCCACCGCTATCTCAACACGAACAATCGGTGCCTCGCATAAGCCCTGCTAACGCTCAAGGTCCTTCGGCCTCCCGCGTTCCTTGGTGCATGCTCATGACGGTGTTGGCATGCGGTGGCTCCCCACAATAGTTCATGGGATCAGGTCTTGTTAAATGAACTAATGACTGAGTCCTCCTAGCAGGTTTGGGGCTTGCTCCTGCCAGCACATTCGCAACATAGACACGGCGGCCCTATGGGGACCTGGACTCACACTCAGTCAATGTGCTCATGGAAACTAACTACTGGCACTCATCACCAGAGGAGGTGGGGCTTCAGCTCAGCTTATCAATTGTCTGCCTCTATCAGGAATTTTTTTATTCTGTAATTGGAACTCAGCCTTGGCCTTGATACATCCAAAAAGAAGAAAAAGAGTATAAGGGCATCTCTTGTCACTCTAACCAAAATCTGGATTAGGATGCCCTGGGTTTCAGTGACTTCCATCTGGCCTTGTGAAGCACCTGTGACAATGACCCGCAGCTGCACCTGTGGGTCCTTCCTCCCATAGAGCCCATGGCGCCCATCCCAGGGCACTTTATGTCACCTGCCCTTAGCAGACACCCACAGCTGATGATTCACCAAGCACTCTTAAACGTGCTCCCCCCAGGTGCTGAGTTTGGTGAAAAGAACTCAAAGGAGAATGCTTTTACCTAAAGTTGTATCACCAGGTCTTCTTAACAAACAATAGACTAAAATAATCAAAGTCATTATCAGAGTTTGCCTTGCAAAGGTCTGTGCATACATGGGTCTCTCAAAGTGTGGTCCCCAATCAGCAGCATCAGAATCACCTGGGAACTTGTCAGAAATGCAGATTCTCAGGCCAGGCCCAGATCTGCCAGGTCAGAAATCCTGGCAGCAGGGCCCCGCATGCTGCCCGTGTTTCAGATACCAAATTCTCTGGGTGATTCTGATCCTAATCCAGCCTGATACCCCCTGCACTTTACAAACAGGTACAGAGAGGTCCATAGGATAATTTGAAGTTTTCCAGGTGATCTGTGACTAAGACTAGACTAGAATGGGAAAGTGCCAGTTCCCAGAAAACTGATAGTGTAGCTTCTGGTCAAAGCCCCTTCATCTCTGGCAACTACAAACCTTCCTATGAGCAAATCATGCAAACAAGACCTGCAGTTCACGCCCAGCAGCCCATTGGCCTTGCATCATCAGTAGTAGGTAAGACTCTCCTCAAAGCCTCCTCAACCTCTCATCCAGTCGGAAGCCCTCTCTCTTAAAAAACCCTCAGTTGAGTGCCCTTAAATCTTCAGTGCTTTTAACCCATCTGCTTAGAAATGTCTTCATTGTTGTGAATCATCCTTGTTCTTTTTACTAAAGACAACAACTACCCTGCTTTGAAATAACATTGACTAAGGGTGGAAATGTAACCCTCTATGTTTCTCTTTGAAAAGATGACTAATGGGCATTTATGGGTCGGTTTTAAGTTGCAAAACTTGACATGCCAAGAGACAGGCATTTATGTCTAACAAAAGTGAGATCTTTGAAACCTGGTCTGATTCAAGCCCTGCTTTTTAAAAGTAGTAGAAGTCAAGGGAGTAGAATCTGACTTAAATTAACTGAAAATGATTTAGCTTGCCACTAATTTATGGCAGTTACTTTCAGATGAAGGCATTTCATAGAGAAGCCTTGTCTTTCTTGGTAATCAAAACTGAAGAAAGAGTAATTTTACAAATTTCCATAACCCTAACTTTATGTATTTTCTATTATGTTATTATAAATACTAGAGGCCTGATGCACGAAGATTTGTCCAAGAACAGGCCTCCTTCCCCTGGCTGTGGCACCGGCTTCCCTCTGGCACCCAGGACCGGGGCCTTGGTTCTGGCCGCCACCTCCTACCTTCGCTCCGGCCCTGCCACCCTCCTGTAGCTCCTCCACCCCCCGCGCCCCTCATAGCAAGTGTCCTGCCCCACCCGGCCGCTCCACACCTGTGCAAGCATCCCGGCCCTGCCGCCGCCATCTTTGTCATGTCAATTTGCATATTCCTTCCTGATTGGCTGTGGGCACCACTATCTTTGTTGTGAAGTGATGGTCAATTTGCATATTCCATCTTTATTAGATAGGCTGGTTTAATGCACCCAAGGGCATTCCAAATAAACTACTGCTATTTGTTTGGGGGGAAAAATGAAAAATAAAAAGGTGCCTATAGTGAGAGAGAGAAAAAAACATTTTCAACAAATAAAGAAGTATTTAGGAGTCACTCAGCCTTGAAATTACCAGCAACTTAGTGTCATGTGTCCTTAGAGAATCAAAATAATAAAGCCAGCAACAGAGGAATCAACATTGAAACACATTAGATCACCTTCCCATTAAATGCTCAACTGTGGGAAATTTAATCATGATAGATGAGGGATGATTTCCTCCAAGGGATCCATTCATTAAAAATACAGCACTATCTTAATACTTGAAAAAGTTCCAAGTTATCTGCAAAGCACACATTTCTAATGTAGCTGCTTCTAAAACGAAGGCTGTTCAAAGGAACAATCCTGGCCCCTGCGGTGCTTGTGTTCCGACCACACTGCAGTGGCTCCTGGACTCCCACACCCACTCCTCAAGCTCGGGAGCCCCTGCTTTGACGCTGAGCTGATGTGGGCTCAAACGGGTGAAATCATTTACCCTGCACCAATGGTCGGCAAACTCATTAGTCAACAGAACCAAGTATCAACAGTACAACGATTGAAATTTCTTTTGAGAGCCAAATTTTTTAAACTTAAACTATATAGGTAGGTACATTGTTATTAACTTAATTAGGGTACTCCTAAGGCTTAGGAAGAGCCATACTCAAGGGGCCAAAGAGCCGCATGTGGTTCAAGAGCCGCAGTTTCCTGACCATGGCCCTACACCATGCAGCTAGAAAATGCGAAGCCAGAATTGTACCCAAGTCTGTTAAAGACTCAACTCCAGACTCAAGGCCGTTTCATGATCCCTCCTGGTGGAGAAAGGGAAAATGGAAGAATCAGGCAGTAGTAGTTTCCATGGGTGTTAAGAAAGTAACTGCACATTGCTCCTGTGAGCGCCTCCCCCAGGAAGACTTGTGAACACCGCGAACAAAACTCAACCCAACCACTATCAAGTAAGAGCCAAGTTTTCATTTTATTCAGGTGCTCCCAGTGGGTCAGTCCCCAGCGTCATTTCATCTGAAATAATTTCACAGGAGAACTGTCACACTGGAGAAATGTACCCAAAGCCAGGATCCTTGAAGCTGGGGATCTCATTCTTCCTGTAGAAGTCGGCCTTCAAATGGTTGGCACGGCCGTGCTCCAGGTTCAGAGGCTCCACTGGCTGGTGGATGCGCTTGCCGTAGACAGATGACATCAGCACCCCGACGGGCCTCTCCTGCTCCTGTCCAGGGCATCAGACATGCAGGTCAGCACATGCCCGCTTCCTCAGCAGGGCTTAGCCTCCCCTCGGCCTGGGATCTGGAAGCTGATTCTGCCTGCGTTACCTGCACACCTGCATCCTATCTGCCTGGGCTTCTTGGAGGTGACGCCACACTGGCATTAGGGGCCCTCGGCCTGGGATCTGGAAGCTGATTCTGCCTGCGTCACCTGCACACCTGCATCCTATCTCCGCCTGGGCTTCTTGGAGGTGACTCCACACTGGCGCCAGGGCACCTCTTTACTATGTCAGCCCTGCCCTCTGCTCACAGCCCTCAGGTGTCCTCGGGCCCTTCAGAGGGAAGGCAGAGCTTTTGCACTGGGTGCCCGGTACCTGTGACTTCAGATTCACTTTCTTCCTACCTCCCCACCCTCTTACCTGCCCTGCTCCTGCCTGCCCTTTTCTATCTTTTCCCAACTTTTTTTTTCCCAGGGTGCACATCCCCCTAGTGACTCCTCACCTTCCTAGTACCCCTCATCTCCACAGCCCGCTTCTTATCTCCGCAGCCCTTCTCACCTCCCAAGCCCCCACATAACACTTTCACTTTCCTCATCCTCTTAAAAGGCTTTATGTCTCTGCAAGCCACTTACTACTACCTGGATTCAGTTCATTATTTGTTTGGCTTTTATTTTTCTGTATCCTCATAGGAATGTCAGGTCCAGGAGGCAGACACTGCTGCCTTACTCCCTGTGTGCTCAGGAGTGCACGGGAGGTGCTCAAAATCTATGAGTGGATATAAGAAACACTAGGCATGTTCTCATGGGAGGAAAGCACTGACTTCGCTACCAACTTGGAATAATGAAGTAACAAACAAAAACAGGAGGAAACGCGTTGACGTCCGTGATCTACACAGTAATACCTCATATTGCCTCCCTCACTTAATTTCACATTAAAATAATATGTTTCATTGAAAGTGACATGACAACATGCTTAAACAATAACAGCGACAGGCAAATATCCAATGATCTAGAAAGAAATCCCACTGAAAGCTTTTATGTCCTGATTTTTGTGTATCGGATAAAAGATTATGATAGTAACCAGCACCCAACTTTTCATGATCATACTGTCTTCAGGTCAGAATGTGTGGGCACAATGTCCAAGTGCGGAAGGGCAGGGGGAGGGTCCAGCCCAGCAGGCAGATGGGCCCAGCCATGCTAAGGAGTACGCCACCTCCTCGCCCTTGTACTGTTGCAATCCTGACCTCCTCACCCTGTGGGTGTTGTGTCCTCTGTTGGTCACCCACCTGTGCAGCTGACTGCAGGCAGAGCCTCCCTTCCTGAAAATCGTGGAGAGATAACGAAGGAGCTGTGCTACGTGCAGTGGCCTGGTAATCAACTTGGGAGATAGATACATCCTTGCCTGTGTGCTTTCATCCCTGAAAGCCCAGTGTCCCTAGAAGAACTGTGACAGCCTGGACTCCAAGGTTAAGCAAAACCCTACTTTATCTGTTGAAAAGAACTTCTTATTTTGCTTCCATTAAAATTGTTAAATTCTGTAGAACAAAACAGCAGCCATCAAAATTAGTGCACAGCAACACAACAGACTAGCAGTAGTTCTCAACCTTCTGGCCCTTTAAACACAGTTCCTCATGTTGTGACCCAACCATAAAATTATTTTCGTTGCTACTTCATAACTGTAATGTTGCTACTGTTATGAATCATAATGTAAATATCTGATATGCAGGATGGTCTTAGGCAACACCTGTGAAAGGGTTGTTTGGCCCCCAAAGGGGTCGCGACCCACAGGTTGAGAACCGCTGGATTAGAGTGAGCTAGCAGCAGCATACTCTTCGTAAACTAGAGGAGAGCAGCACAAAGGAGAGTTAGACACACACTAGACACAATAATAAACAATTGTGCATGTGCAGTCCATCTGTCAGAGCCTGTTAATATCCTTAGTCTTACCTCCTCGTTAACATGAAGTCCCAGGCTCTTCGCATGTTCTCTGTCATCTCGGTGCAATTTCTGATTATATCCTAGGTCCCTCTTAAAAATACAGTCATAGAGGGAAATGATTCCTGTCTGGGAGTAAAAAGAGAAAAACGCTGAGGGTTTATTCCCAGGCTGAGCCACTGAAGCTGCACGGCCTCTTCTATTTAGTCTAAGGGGGTGATCATGTAAATCGGTGACTTGTCTCTTTGCTTAAACGTTTTGCATTTCATTTATTCATTCCTCATTCTTTCATGCAGCCGGTATTTATAAAGCACCAACTATGATACAGGTACTGTTTGGTGTGCTGAGGATAGAAATAACCCCTGCCCTTGTAAGCTCCTATTTTAGTTGTGGGGCAGGGAGGGAGATAAAATAACTAAGTAAAATATATAATAGAATAGATACTACTAGGTGTAAAGCGGGGAAGCAGGAAGAGGAAGGACGTATATGTGGGGGGTAGTCATGACTTCATTTGCTAGCACACATTTTGATTGGAAGCCATGTGGGTGCAAGAGTCTGCAGGACACCAGAGGTAAACTTGCCTAGATTTTAACTGGTAAAACAGCAACAGAACGGGAGCTTGCCTGTCCTCCACAGCCCCTAGGAGTGGCTGAGTGCGGGTGGCAGATGTGCTTGGTGCCTAAGAGGGAAGAGGCTCCACACGGGAGGGGGGGGTGCGGCGGGGGGGCGCACACGGCTGGAGAACTCTTACTGCACACCTCCTGTGTACTGGACATGGGCACAGGCCCTCCACACCCCCCTCTGCACCTCTGGACAGTCAACACGCATTGTTATGTTTACAAAGTGCTTGGCTGCATTGGGGAAGGGACATTCAGTCACCAGGAGGGGAAAGAAATTGTCAGGCCCTGGCCTCTGTCCCAACCACACACCTAGAAGGAAAGCCAGCTAATCCCACCAAAGCTAAATTTAGGCTTTTTTTTTATTTTTAGTATGTTTTTATTGATTCTAGAGAGAGAGGGAGAGAAACATCAATGTGAGAGAGAACCATCTATTGGCTGCTTCCTGCATGCCCCCTACAGGGGATTGAGCCTGCAACCCTGGCATATGCCCTCACCAGGAATTGAACCTGAAGCCTTCGGTGACGACACTCAACCAACTAAGCCACACCGGCCAGGGCTAAATTGGGGCTTTCTAAGCAAAGCTTCACTCAAAACAGAGCTATCCACAATTCATCTTAGCATGAGTGAAAGCATATTCTAAAACCACTCGGGATTTTTGTTGTTGTTGTAGCTTTTAGAATGAGAAATTTAATCAGCCCCTTCATAAAAAGCCATTCTCCTTTGACTTAGCTTTTCCACTTCAGGAGCAGGATTGTTGCACAAGGCAGAAAAAAAGTAATTTAAAAGCACCATTGAACTGAATTTGCTTTGCTGCCCCTGGAATAACATTTTATAGGAAAGCCCATGCAGCTAGAGCCCCCTAGGGAGCAGGCCTGGGGCTGATGGTATTATAGTTGGCAGCTTGAGATGACAAATTTGTCTTAAGACCAGGGCATTACTGGGGCTTTGATACGTGTGCGGCATTGATAGAGCTTTACCTTTGGGCTCCCTATGCCTGAGAGGATCATCTACACACAGATTACCTGCCTCACTGTGTTAATCTCAGACAGTGGATGAGCGTGGGAGATAAGACACTGGCCCCCAGAACCAACCCTCAGAGAAAGGAACTCTAATAATCACTAACAAAAACAAACAATAGCTATAACAGCTCTATTCACACTGGGCTGTATATACCATTAATTACATTCCTTCTCATAAGAACTCCAGGCGCTCGGTACTGTTTGATCTTTGTTTCATAGATGGCCAAAGTGAGATAGAGAATTTGTGACTTGGACAATTCACACTGCTAGTAACACTAAGCCAATATTTTTACCCAGGACACCTTGGCCATGCTACTAATTTATCACTCAGGGGCCACATGCTAATTGACTTAAGAGCTCATTCTGCAATGTTTTTCTTAGCTTTGAGTGGGGCCTGGAATTACTTACAACTCTAGGGGCAGCTGAGTACCCCACAAACCTGTGATACAGTTCACCCTGGTTAGCCCAAGTGATCTGCAGGTCAGAGGATCCGCTTCTGGAGCCCTGCAGCTGATTAAATGCCAGTTCAGATAATTCCCAGAGGATTGGATTTAGGTGTTAATATTTCTGTTTCGTCCCTTTCTTCATGTGACACTAAAGGCCTCAGGACTTGAATTTGCCTATGCCCCAGCTATCAAAACTGTACTGAAATTTCTTTCCTTAAAATCTGCTTTGCATTACGTTGTTCTAAGGAAGGCCCACCCTGATCTTCCAGTGGCAATACTACATCAGAGCAGGGGTTGGCAAACATTTTCTGTAAGGGACAGATAGTCCCTGTTTTAGGCTTTCAAGTCAAGCGGTCTCTGTTGATACTACTCAACTCTGTGTGGTAGCCATAGACCATACTAAACCAATGGGCCTGTGGCTCTGTTCTAATAAAACTTTATTAAATCAGGCAGCAGGACATATTTGGCCAAAAGGTCTTCAAGTGCTGACCCTACATTAGAGGGGCACACTTATTGCCCACTTCTAATCTCCTTCCAAGTACAGAGCCCCAGTCACTTAAAACTACCTGATATCTTTCTGCCCATTGGTTTACTCTGCCCCAGAAAGGTGGAGCCACAGATCAGATTGGTGAAGTTCAGAAAAATAAGCTGGGCCTGTCAGACTCAACTCAGCCCCTTTTCCCCTGGCAGTGCCTGGCCCACAGGGGGTGGGAGTTCCGCTGGGTCTTTTCTGAGACCCACAGCTGTCCCCAAACCTATTTCCCCAGAGTCCCTAGTATTATCCTGCAACATGGCTTTTATATCTGATAAATATATATTTTGGCCCTTATCTGCTTAGTCTTTTATCTTATCTCCCAATACCCTCAAGGATGGATCTCCCTTACTCTGGTATCTCCCTCAAAGATACCAGATAAAATGGTGTATTGTAAATTGTTTCATATGTCAAGAAGCCAAAAATTATATTCTCTCAGTAAAATAATATGGACCAACTTAAAACATGAAGACTCCTTGCTCTTTGGCTGGTTCTCTCATGCTGTGCATTAATGCTATGCATGAATCATAAATTAATTAGCAATGATACAGGTTTTACATACTTAAAATGTAAAATTCATTTAATAAGCGAAAGCAATTACAGGTATAAATTCTTTCAAAACATATATCTCATGAGGTCCAGGGTGGCAACGAGATTGGGAATTATTGCTCTAAACTCCCCTCCTGTCTCAGTACCTGATGGACAATCAAACCTACGAGAGTCAGTACACAGGGTTACAAAGACAAATACACTGTCCATGTCCTCTTCTTCAGCCTTTCCTATTGTCCTTCACATTGCTCAAAGTCACGCAGAAAGTTGCTAAGAGATACCAGGGATCCTCCCCGCTGAAGTTTGTGTGTTAGTTTGCTCAGGCTGCCAAGACAACGTACCCAGGCTGAAATTTATTGTGTCCCAGTTCTGGTGCCTGAACTCTGAGATGACGGAGTTGGCAGGCTTGGTTCCGTCCAAGGCTGTAAGGGTGAACCTGTTCCACGCCTCTCTCCTTGGTTTGTAGAAGGCCTTTGTCTCCCCATCTGTTCATGTCGACAGGTATAAATTCTTTCAAAACATATATCTCATGAGGTCCAGGGTGGCAACGAGATTGGGAATTATTGCTCTAAACTCCCCTCCTGTCTCAGTACCTGATGGACAATCAAACCTACGAGAGTCAGTACACAGGGTTACAAAGACAAATACACTGTCCATGTCCTCTTCTTCAGCCTTTCCTATTGTCCTTCACATTGCTCAAAGTCACGCAGAAAGTTGCTAAGAGATACCAGGGATCCTCCCCGCTGAAGTTTGTGTGTTAGTTTGCTCAGGCTGCCAAGACAACGTACCCAGGCTGAAATTTATTGTGTCCCAGTTCTGGTGCCTGAACTCTGAGATGACGGAGTTGGCAGGCTTGGTTCCGTCCAAGGCTGTAAGGGTGAACCTGTTCCACGCCTCTCTCCTTGGTTTGTAGAAGGCCTTTGTCTCCCCATCTGTTCATGTCGTCTTCCCTCTATGCATCTGTCTGTGTGTCCAGATTTCCCCTTTTTATAAGGACACAAGTCATACTGAATGAGGCCCATCCTAATGACCTCACTTTAATTTGATTGCCTGTCTCCAAGTAAGGTCACATTCTGAGGTACTGGGGTTTAGGACGCTAACAAGAATTTTGGGGAGACAATGCAACCCATAAGAATTGCCTAAACTAGAAACTATTGCTTCTGTTTGTAAGGCTGAGCTCTTAACAATGTGACTTCTACACTTCACCTGTGGCAAGTACTCAACTGTAGGCTGTCTGATCTGAATGGCACCTGTCTCCAAGTAAGGTCACATTCTGAGGTACTGGGGTTTAGGACGCTAACAAGAATTTTGGGGAGACAATGCAACCCATAAGAATTGCCTAAACTAGAAACTATTGCTTCTGTTTGTAAGGCTGAGCTCTTAACAATGTGACTTCTACACTTCACCTGTGGCAAGTACTCAACTGTAGGCTGTCTGATCTGAATGGCAGTTCATTTGTGCTCCACGGATTGTGGGTGGGAAGGAGCCAAAGGAGGAACATTTTGTGGGAACACCTTGTACACCCTGAGAAAGCCGTCTTCTTCCTCCCAGCTGTCGGTTTACCCTCTGGGGCTACTCATCATCGCTGCAGGCTGAGTGTCCCCAAACAATGTGCCTTTTGAATAATGATGCCCCGGCACCCTGAGCTGCAAGACACTGGAGACACTTAGGAAAACAGTCGATCCCTGAAAGTTCTGATTTGCTTCCTTTTCTTTGGCTTCTCTTCCCCCTTTGGCTGCAAGGTGGCCTCCGACGTTCCGCAGGCTCTTCCCGTAACAAGCACGTACCTGGTGGGGCCCCGCCCGCTGAGCGGACCCGCCCCTGGAGTCCTACTGGGAAACGCTGCCCCACCTCCAGGCCTCCTCCCCGGCAGGTGGCCAGGTCCCCATTCCCTCCAGTCCCCCCATCTCCTCTCTCCCGTCCCGTCCTGCAGCCCGCGGCGCACCTGGCTCTGGCGGTTGAAGTAGCTGTG